CTTCACGAATTCGTCGCAAATTTGGGTCTTCATCGTGATCGGAACCCAGGTCGACCCGGCTGCGGTTACATAGCGACTACTGCTCGCACGGACTGGCTCGTCCCGTGTGTTGTTCGGCTGCGGATCCCTCACCGACTGTTCGTTTTCGGTCTGCTTCTCTGCTTGCTCTGCAGGGAGAAGAAGTGGAAGGATTGCCATGTATGTGTCTAATCCAATACTCTATGCTAGGCCGCATAGGCCACTTACCGCCCGTGTTGATGATCACCAGGGCGTTCTCGGGGACCTTGTAGACTCGGTCTTGGGCGATGCCGTGGATGTCGTTGCAGTTCGGTACGGGCTTGTCGAACAGCACCTCGCAGAAGGTGTCGACGGCATGGACGCACTCCAAGCGGACCGGGTTGGGATCCGTAACGGGGTGAATGCCAATCACGGTGCCCTTAATGCCAACAGGCACCATGTAAACGGTGCGTACGATGACGACGCGGTCAAAGAGACGCACGGGTCGCCGTGGTCGGTAGGCTTCTGGCAATGTGACATTGGGCTTGATGAGCAAGTGCGGCTTCACCTGCAGCTTAACGTCCTTGACGGGCAGTGAGCGCAGCTCGTCGACGGCGGCAATCAGAAGCTCGACGGTCTCGCGGCAGACCGTTTTTGAGCCGCAGGAGATGCGTTCCACTTTCATGTGCGGCTGCTGGCGCACCCAGTTGGCCAGATCCTCGACGCGGTGCTGGCCAACCTGATTGGGGAACACGTCCTGCTCGAAGACGTACTCGGCGCGATCGTTGGTATCGCCAAAGAAGGTGATCACGTCTGGGTAACGCTCGCAATAGTCGCGCATCAGATCCAGGGCCAGGCTGGAGTAGAACCACTGGTTGTTCGTGCGGCAGCAGTATCCTGCGCGCTCCTCGTTCTGCCGCGGATACTTGAGCTGCAGGCCAATGTTGTGCTTGGTCACGTTCTCCATTTTCTGCCGCCGCGGACCGAGCACCACCCACACGGTGCCCGTGAGGCGTCCCAGGGCACGCCCACTGATTCTCAGCATATGGCAGACCTGGAAGGTGTTCAGGAAGTCTCGATTGCGCTCCTCCTGCAGCAGACGTGCCGGCCCTACTTCCGGTTCCGGTCGGACCCTGATGCTGACTGCAGATATGAACGGATGATGGGGTGTCTTGGCATGGCGAAACGGACTTACCCTGAATGCGGCCATTCGTGTGGGCCAGCAGTGGGTCTTGTACAGTTCCCTCACTGCCGTAATACGGATCGGTGATCAAGAAGATCGTGCTGCCGACGGGAAAGAAGTCCTCCACGCTGTGGAACTGCTTGCGCATGCTCTCCCGCACTGCCAATTCGGCCACCACACCCTGGGCGGGGTAGCCGGTGATGGAGGTGCTCCACGAGTCGCGCACCTTCAGTGTCCCCTTGGCGCCAAACACTGTCGAGCTGCCAGCGAAGGTGCGCACATAGACGAGCACGTCATAGTTGGCAAACTTTATTCCCATGCGGGTGGTAAAGCTAGCAGAGGAGGACAAAGAAGGAGGAGCATTAGCAGTGGGGCTGCAGGCATGGGCGGCGGCTTCACACTCACTGTTCCTCCAGCATCTTGCACTCCGAGTCGAAACGCCGCGAATCGTTCTGCGCGATTCCCTCCTCGTCGACGCGCTGATCTCGCGTGGCCACGCGCACCACCTTCGCCTTGACGAGATGCGGCCAACCGATGTGCACCACCTGCTCCAGGTACTGGCCGGCTACCGCCTCCAGGGTGTCCTCCAGCTGACGCTTGCGCGGCTTCAGCACCATGTTCTGGTTGCGACTGACCTGTTCGAACACCTTGACGCGGTCGTGGCGCAACTCGAACTGCAAAATAGGGAGCATATAAAGGGCGGGCATGGAGAGCGACATGAGTCACTCACGTCGAACGGCAGATGCTGCATAGTGGGGAATCCCGGGAAGAAGACATGCCTCGCCGCATTTGGCTGCTCGACGCACACGCTGTGCGGCAGATTGAGGGCGATTTCGCGCGACCACTTGGCCACCTCCGTGCAGTAGAGCTCGGGAAGAGCCTTCAGCGGCGGATGCGATGGCATCGGACCCTGCGCCTCTGCACTGTAATTGTAGAGGTACATGGGGCCATGTCGATTCCGTTCCCGCTCCGCCAGCGACAGCTGCTCCTCGCATGGCAGCATGGCGGCCAGCAGGCGCCCCTCGTCGATGAAGGGTATCAGCACCACCGCCTCCCAGTCGTGCTTCTTTCCATTGAGGTCGCTCTCGAACTCCAGCGGATAGAACTCGGCCAGCGGGCTGCTCGGCAGCACCATGAGGTCGTGGTAGGCGGCGGGGAGCAGCTTGCAACTAGCCGTCGGTAGCACCGCCAGCAGCTGCATGTGGAAGATTAAATAAATCTATGTATTTCTGTATGTAGATATATGCGGTAACTATGGATCTCATCGACGGTGCTGAGGGGCGGCTAAATGTCTATTGTTACACGGTAATTGGATGAGAAGACTGCTTTGAGAACAATCCACTTCTTAAAAGGATCTCATTTTGACCAAATGCCCTAGTAGTAGCATTGGATTAGAGGGAGATAGATATATGCTCCACGGGTGATAAGCTGGTGAAAGTCTAAATTGTGTTGCTCTCGTTTATCTTTGCGAAATGATAAGCCTGATGAGATCACCATAACGTCACGTTCTAGCTGATAACCATTCCTAGGGAACCTCCTCCCCACAGAAGCTTACCTGCTGGAATGGAAGAAAGGGGGTGCCCATCTGGAAGTCGATCTGCACCTGCTCGATGTTCCTGAGGTCGCTGATGAACGGCGCGTAGTGGAAGGGATAGTACCAGTCCCAGGACTGCACGCCACGGTAGTAGTAATCGAGCACCCACTGCAGCGCGTTGACGTAGTGGTGGCCCAGTTCCTCGAGCAGGTCGCTCTGCGGATCCCGATTGAACTTGTTGCGGTAGTAGTTTCGCTTGTAGTTTTTTAACTCGTTCATCAGAACCGCCTCCTCGTCGCTCCAGTCCTCCTCGCTGCCGTCCTCGTAGAGCTGTGGATGGAAGCGGGCATTCAAGCATTCAATGGAACAATGCAACAAGTGCATACCTTCATGCTCTCGCTGATGAGGGCGCCTAAATCGGAGTCGATGTCCTGCGATTCGGTGATCTCGGCGACGTCGACGTCGAACGCCTCTGTCTTGGCGTTCATGTACTTGAGGTCGTCGGCGTGCTCCTTGAACAGTTCCAGCTCCACCTCGGCGAGGGCCGACAGGAAGATCTGCAAGCGGCGCAGATTGAGCTTGCCGTTCTCGTTGATGTTGCCGCCAAGGGTCGGGTAAATGCTTATGTAGGTGCGGTAGAGCAGCGGCAGTGCGTTGGAGGAGATGTGCATGCACGGCAAGTGGGGAATGAAGTCGTTGCCGACCATGAAGCCCATCAGCACCCAGTCGTCGATGAGCTGCGAAACATCCAACTTGCGCTCGGCGGTGTTCAGGGCATCGAACTCCAGCTCCAAGTACTCGCGCAGCAGACCCAGGTGCAGCAGGAAGAAGCGCGTCTCCTCCACCGAGGTTCGCTTCACGTTGCGCCCAAACTTGACCTCCTCGCGAAGCACCACGAAGTGCAGCTCGTGGGTGCAGAGGCCCAAAATGATCAGATCGGCGTCCAGGCCGTACAGGCAGTGCCGCGTGTTGGGATCAAAGTCCGGCTGCGCCTTCATGTACCGAATGTAGTCCATAATCTTGTGCTCGCCCTCGCCGGGCGTCTCCTGGCCACTCAGTATCACGCTGCACTGCTGCCACAGCGGATCCGTGGATATCTTCGTCTTGAGGAAGGCGCGCAGTCCCTCCTGCAGCCGCACCATGAACTCGGTGCCCGGTGTGATGCAGTTGCTGTCGAAGCGCTCGTGCTCCCGCCGCTCGCCACGCTGCGCCGCCTTGGCCTCCAGCTGCTCCGCCTCGCGCGCCGACCGGAATCGCCGGCTGCGCTGTTGGTTCATCTTGGCACGGGGCGCCACTCCGTCGACGGCCAGGAAGAAGAGACGCTGCGGCTTGATCAGGTAGAACAGCTTGTCCACGTAGTTGAAGATGTCCTGGAATATCTGGTGCTCCTCCAGGTGAAAGTGAATGTTGTTGTCGTCCGGATGCGAACAGTTGTGCACGATGCCGTTCATGTCCAGGTACAGGTTGTCGAACTCGGGTATCTGCAATGGGGCGCATACAGCACATGGGATGGCATCGTATCCACAGCTAAAGCTAAAGCCACAGCCACATCCTCTTCAGATTTACTTACGCTGTGCTCCCGCGCCAACTCGCTGAGGCATGGATACCGTTCGCTGATGTAGCGAAAGAACTTGGGGACGCCCATGCTGCCGCGCTGCTGTTCCTTGATCAACCGAATTTAGATAAACCGATTTGTGTTCTGGCCGAAAATTTGTAGTTTTATCTGTATGAACATGTATTGATTAACACCTTATTTGCCAATAGAAGGTACGGCGTTGCCACACCCTTGCGCAGTCACTCTGTGGCAGGTATGGCATTCCGTTTTGATGCTTCACCGAAAGAACAAAGGCTTAAAGGCCTTCAAATTAAAATGGCGCGGTGTAAACTAGAATGGATATTTAGCTGAAGGCTTGCTTTGTGGGGCTTACAGTGATTTTTGGCTATATACTTATTGTCTTTATAGTGATGCTTGGCCTTATACTAATATTTTGGGCTTTGCATCTGTAGGTGGGGTTAAAATCACTGACCTGGCAGCCCTGGCCAAATGCAATTCTCGGCCTCCAAATCAGTTGGTTCCATTTGAGAGCAGTTCTCTGGCTAGTATTAGCGCTGACTATACTACCCAAGCTGCACATTTTAAATTGCGCTGAAACCCTGAAACGCTGAATAAAAACGAAAACAAAATTATTTAAATATTGCGCCAACGCTGGCAACGGAACTAGTTCCGCCCTTAGCTAAGACTCGAACCCCAATGACAGTACCCACTAGAGGGGCCATATTGTTTCCAATTGGAATAAAAACACACACCACTCGTTTGGTCACACTGGCCCAGGCGAACAGCTGTTTTCCGAACCGAAAAGCGCTTGTGTTCCAAATTTTACGTAATTCGTATTTTGAAGCCGATTTCTGCCGTATAGCCCCAACCGCCTAGCGAAATGTCGGCTCTCCGCCAAGTGATGTGCAGAAGCACTGCCTCCCTGCAGCTGTAGGTGCCTCCGCCTGGCCGGAGCAAGTGCATCCGTGTGCATTTACCACATCTGCATCCCTGGCAGCCCTGTGCAGTAATCCATTATCGCATCTCGCTATTGCAGGTACCAGGCCAACAGAGCAGCCGCTGCCCGCTGGGCATCCACCGCCTCGACGGACGGCGGTCCCCTGGACCCCAAGACGGCCCTGGCCCGACCCGACGAGCTGGAGCAGCGCAACAAGCTGAGTGGCAAGATCACCGTGCCCACGGCCGTCAATCTCAGCCCGATCAGCGGCGTTCCGGAGGAGCATCTGCGAGAGCGGCGTGTGCGCATCCATATTCCGCCCAAGAACGCCATGCAGAGCGGCACGGACAACGTGAACACCTGGCAGATCGAGTTCGACAACCGCGAGCGCTGGGAAAATCCGCTCATGGGCTGGGCTTCCAGGTAAGTAGCTGCTGTTCACCGCCATGGCAACCTTGGTCAACGTATCGTGTTCCAGCGGCGATCCACTGTCCAACATGAACGTGCAGTTCGGATCTCAGGAGGAGGCCATCACGTTCTGCGAACGCAACGGATGGCGCTGGTATGTCGACGGCGCCGAGAAGCCCAAGAAGGAGCGCGTCAAGAACTACGGCATCAACTTTGCCTGGAACAAGCGCACGCGCGTCTCCACCAAGTAGACGCCCCCCGCAGCTAGCCAGGATTATAGACCACAATTATCTTATTTTTTTTTGCTTTGTTCATTCATCTGAGTACCCAAATAAACAGTCGGCTGGACTCTAATGACCACAGCACCATGTAATGGCCGCCAGTTTCGATGCCAGTGGAAGGCGAGTGAATCACATGCGCCTCTAGTGACGAAAGGTGTGGGAGCGATGCTTCTTGTGGTGATGTCCGCGTGGCTCTCGCTCCTCGCGACGCCTGTCTCCATGGCACTGCTTCTCCAGGCCGCGTTCCCTGCTTCGACTCCGACTGCGGCTTCTCTGCCGGCTCCCACTATGATGCTTGTGCCAATCCCGGTGCTCGTGGCGCCAGACTCGATGCACCTGCCGCTGGCCTCGGTCCTTGTGCTCCTCAAGCCGCTCCGTTTGCTGATTATGCCGCTCCCTGTGCTGCGTTTGCCCAGTGGGCCGCCCTCGGTGCTCCCGAAACCGCTCCACTGGCTCATCGTGCCGTCCCTTGTGCTCCTGGTGCCGCTCCGTCACCGCCCTGTGCTGTGTTTGCTCATTGTGCCGTCCGCGGTGCTTCTGGAGCCGCGCGTCGTGTTCCTGTTGCCACTGCCTCTCCAGCGCCTGCATCTGCAGGCCGACCAGCTGGTTCAGCTCCTCGTTGAGCGTGGGCTTGCTCTTGCGGTGGCGCCGCTGCTTCTTTCGCTCCCGCCGGGTCTCGCCCACCACCTCGGTGAAGGCGGCGTTGTCCTGGAACTGCGGGTGCTTCTTGGTGTGCTGTAGAACGTGCTCGTATATGAGTAGCCGCTCACTCGCGTCGAGTCCTGCCTGCAAATCATCAAAGGAGACAGCAGGGAGCGGGAGGCGTCGTGCTCCCCCGGTTCCGACAATGCCCTGAATGGTCGAGTCATCGAGCTGGATGCTAAAGGCGGGATCTTTGCTGCAGGAGGCCGGCAATGGCAACACCTCCGATGCAGTTGCGCCGTCCTTGTCTTGCAGGATGTGGTCACTCGCCTCCATCACCCCCCGCTCGCTCCAACCGAAGCGCTTCAGGATGGCGTGCAGACGCTTCCTGCTGGCGGCCACAAAGAGACAAAGCTGCTCTCGCTTTTCGTCCACATCTTCGCCAGACATTTTTAGCCAGCGCGAAAAACAGAAAGTGTTGGAAAAGGCCAAAATGTGCGGCCAGTGCTGCAGAACGTAGCGTGTATTTACAGTCCTAGAAAGTTAGGAATAATCTAATCTATGTTGCCATTCAGCTCCTATAGGTGATGCGGGCAGCAGGAGTTCAGCTCCAGAAAAGAACGGTGAAGGCCATGATCAGGCAGGCGGCTCCCACCCACGGCGACTTGCGCTCCCCGATTCTCGCCAGCTTCCAAAAGGTGCCTAGGAATCTGGATACAGAGCAGACGAGAGTTGAGTGTAGTGACAATCAGAGGACTTGTCAGGGCGGGATTGGGAGCACTCACCCGGTCTTGTTGCGGTCTATGATGCTGGGAAACAGCGAGCGCAGGTAGGCACAGGTGCAGATCAGCAGCAGGATGACCGACAGCAGGCTTTGGAAGTTAAACAAGGCGCTCTGTGGAGGGAAACGTGAGTTAGTGTAAGAAATATCAGTGAAGCGAGCGGTTCAAACCATGATTTAGCAAATCGAAATCCGTGTTTTGGGATAAAATGACAACAAGCGGTAAACTAGTGACGTGCCATCAGCTCGGCCCAGGCGCACTGGTTCCAATATAGGAATCACACGGTCTGACTGGTTCGATAGCAGGTTAATCGACTGTTAGAATGTAGTCTGCTCAAACTGTTAAGGAGTTAAAATAAGTATATACCTATGCCATATATATCTAATTGCGCCCCATATCCTTTTGCTGGCATGGAAATTGGATAAATATTCTGCAATGGAGAATATCGAACATTTAGCCAAGTTCGCACCGGTCTATAATCACGTCCTAGAACGTATTGAAACTAATAAGGGCTTAGTAAAAATATCTTGTACAAACACATTTGACCCAAGCTTATCCGCTAGCAAAGAAATAGAAATAAAGTAAATAAAAAAGTTGACTTAGTTTTAATTAACGTTGGCAGTGGAGCTACACTCAATTAAAATATGTGTCAATGGAATCGGGCTATTCGGTCAAGTGATTTCAATCGATTGGTGCAGGACAGCAATCGATGTGACATTTCAGCCACATCGATAGTATCGCATAAACATCGATTCGGTGGGCCAGCTCTAGCAATTTGTCTGCAACTTCTAATTCGCTGCGGGTATTTTTTTTTTGTGTTTGTTGTTACATATAAACCGATCAACTTCGATCGCCCGCCTGGCAAATCAGTGCCTTGCTGTTCCGATTGGTGAGCTTTGGCCATTTCTCGGCGAGCGTCAGTAAATCGTTCGATTTCGCTTTAGTCCGCTCGTGCTTTCGCGTTTTTCTTGGATCTTTTCATTTTTTTGGTCCGTTTTCGTTTCGTTTTCGTTTTCCACTCGGAATCGCGAGGGGATCAGGAGCGAAGACTCCCGACCGAGTGCACCCCCCATGTGTGTGCGTGTGTGAGTGCGGTGGTGCTGCCAATGCAATTGTAACTGAGCGCGCTCATAAAAATCAAAAGTATATTTAGATATACATGTATATATAATAATCGGATACGTTTTCTCATTGCCCCCCCTGTCGGTGTGTGCGTGTGTATTTAAATCAGTAATACAGTGTGCGTGTGACGAGCGCGCTGGGTTTTGTTGTTGAGTGCGAGTGAGAAAGAGAGAAAGAGCGCGCGAGCGAGATAGCATCCAGAGCAACAGAGAGGCAAACAGGAACTGCAACAAGAAAAACAATAACATTCTGTGGCAGCAGCAGCAGCGATGACTTCCAGTCGCTGCACTGGCAAAGCGGTAAGTTAAATTAATTCCGACTGCAATATTAAGCTAAGCTATGATTCGCGATTTGGCTCCTTGCATGTGTATTTATGTAAGTACACACACACACCCGCACGCGCCCCCAACACACGCACTTGTGTGTATCGCTGACGTCGGCGATTACAGCGCTATTAGCTGCTAACATCACAGTGACGGCCATTCGCATAGGTCCGCGCCAAAGTTATCGGAGTGCCAGTAAATAGTGAGTGAAAAGTGTAAAATACAGAAAGTAGATGCTCTCTCAACCCCCAAAAGAGGGTATATTAAAGTGCTACGGGTTAGAGTGCTGCGAGGCGAAGGTGAGTTGCATTTTTATACCCTCTTCCAGTGCTTTTCATGACACATTCACCCACGGACCTACAACCGTGAACAACAAAACACCACGCACATGCGCAGAGCAGACACCCACACCGATACAACACCAATGCAATGCAAAAAAGTGGTGCTCTTCTTTATTTTTGTTTTTAGTTTCGCTCCACTCTGCCTTCTGTATTCATCGGGTGCATTTATTGTTATCGGTTTCTCTTCCAGCAAAGTCGGTAATCGCTGCGTGTGCCTCGATTCGAAAACGGTAAACAACCAATATTTTGTATTTCATGCTGATTTTTGTGTTCGTTGATGAATGAGGGAGCATTTACGCAATTGTTTTGTGATTTTTCCGCTGTACACTGAAAGGTTCTCTTTGTGGTTTCGCCATCTCCCTCGCTCTCTCTCGCTGGCCGGTGACCACACAGTCACTCACATACACACACACATTAACAGTAGGCCGCCATTGCTCCGCTGCGCAGCTTTTACAGTGTTGCATTCTGCCGCACAGTGTTGTTCCTACCGTGGGAGCTTTTTTCGGCCCTTGTTTTGTGCCCCTCGTTCGTTTTGTACAGATGTTTCTGCCATTCCGTTATCGCCATACGCTCTATGCGATACTTAGCCTATCGGGTTTAGACTTTCTTATTGGCACTATCGTCTGCTCGTTTATAGCCTTTCTTGACCGGCACGAAAAAACTATGAAATAGAAATCAGCAAACAAAAAGTAAAACAAAGCACCGCTTGCATATTTAAATTTTTTTTAGTTGACACCCACATTTTACAATGACTAAATTTCCTATAACGAAATCAGATCACTTATAGCTATAACAAGGTTATAGGCTTAAAAGTCCAGTACAGCACATATTAAGCTACTTTTAATTAAAAGTACATTTTAACATGATGACTTTTTTAATGCAACTAGTTTTACAAGATTTTCTCGGTTGAGGAATATTTTTATTTTTCAAATACAATACCAAAGTACCTTTCCATCTTACTGCCTTTACCAAAAATAGCAATTGCAAGTTAAATATATATTTTCATACATGTGTGTATGCAAAATACGTAAATTTAATTATGTATTTCAATGTATTATTATTGATTAAATACATTGCATATCATTTGTCAGTTGCTAAAGTTCCGCACGCGGTCATCTCTATTCAAAGAGATTGTCATGAGTTTCTCAAGGTGTAAGGGACGGAAGTGCAATAAAAGCTTATCGTGTAATGACACGCGTTTAAAGATTAAAACAATGTTACAAATCGTGCTGTTTGCCAAGCGAGCAAACTTGGTAACTGCTTGGTAATGGCAATATCTAACCTTTTTTATACACATTGGAATGCTCCGAAACTCCAAACTATTTTTTTTTTTTTTGTCATAAATATAACGAAATTTTCAAAAATATTTTTAATTGGATAGTTTAAGATACAAATTAATTGTTGTAAAAAGTGCATTCTTGCAATCTGCCCTATAGGTCATTCACTTTATATTCACGGGATAACCCCAGTAGTATCAGTACATCCCATTTGTTAAGCGCATCAATGGGGTGCTGTTTTCTTGGGCTTAGCTGTTGCTCTTTTTACCGCTGCCTTTCGTAATCCCTGTATAGGCAAGCGATGCGGACTCGGACTCCCGGATTCCGAGTGTGATTGCCACAGCCGAAAGATGGCGATCCGATCGAATCGTATCATATCGTGGGGGATCGTATGGGATCGGATCGCTCGCGTGCCATTTCGTATCATATCGTTTCGCTTCGCTTTCGCTAGTCGGCGGTCCGGGGCTCCGTGCACTTGCTCCGCGCTTTTTGCTCATTTAGATTTTGCCAATCGACGTGTGCGGAACTGAACTGAGCTGAACCGAACTGAATTAATAGGCGGTTCGGCGGATTCGCTTTGTACTTTCGTTTCTTGTGCTGTTCTGTGTGCCGTGCGCCCCCAGTCAATATCGAGTCAAAATCAAATCAAGTCAAAATACGAATCGAGTGTGTTTTTTTTTCTCTGTTTTTTGTTATTCACGTACTAAGAAATTAGCATTCTAGCAATAGCGATCTGTGATTTGTTCTTTTCTGTTCTGTTTACCTCTGGCCTATAACGATCAATAATAAAAAACAAATAGCAAATCGCGTGATAAAAGTGTTAGTCACCAGAAATCGGTGGTCGTGCGCTTTGCACACTGCTTGCACTCAGCGCGGCGCCTGCACTGCTTGCATTCCGGAGCAATGGCTCAGTCGACGGCCACGGCGCCGCTCTACGCCGGCTACAAACCCCTGATCAGAGCGGTAACCACGGATATGGAGCCGGATCCGGATTTGGCCCCCTCCTTGTGTACGTATGGTATTGAGTGCAGATCCCCGCCAGATTCTCTCCATATCACCCACGTTGCACTTCATACTCCATTAGTGCTGACTGGGTTGTTTGGGGTGTCTGGGTTGTCTGCGCTGTCTGGGCTGTGAGCTCCACCTTTTCCTCCTGTGCCATGCAATCGCTTGATTAGCAGTTATTCTTTGGCTCATTAACACAGTTACGATAGTACAGAGTGGGGAGTGTGGGGAGTAGAGTACATATTCTTGGGCATCCAATCTCTCTCTCTCTGGGTTTTTCTTGGGGATTACACACAGCATTGCCATTTACGTCGTTTGTTTATGCTCCCCTCTCATCTTGGCGTCATTATCGCCGTCCACTGGTCATCATCGTCATCATCATTGGCGGCCGTATCGGCACCCTATGAAGAATAAGAATCTGAAGCAGTGAAACGCTTTGTTTGTTTTTAATTTCAAGTGTTTTCTGGCATTTTGCTATTTTTGCTATTTTTGTGAATTTCCTTTCCGCCGCCTTGCGGCGCATTGTTATTGCTGTTACGACTGCTAGTTTTCAAGTTTTCTGGCTTTTGCTATATGCAACACCACGTAGTCGTCGTCGGTCGCCTTCATTTTCTATCATTT